TCTGGAAGCCTTTGAAAACTTTTAGGGACTGTATTTAGTCCCATGACCTCAGGTTAGGTTGCAGTTTCAAGGTCTGACTGAACAGCAAAACTAAAGTGCTTTATGTAGATAGAAACAGCTGAGAAATCATGTTATAACTGCTCTTGTAAGTTTAATAAAATAAATTGATGAACAAAAAACTGGAGTAGCTTTTCTGAATTATGTAGAAGTGTGAAGCATGAACTACATTATTGCAAAAGCCTAAAAACAGAAATTAACTGGGACTGCTGTAACAAATCAGTAATGCAGTAGAGAGAAGAAAAAAAGATGGAAAAAGAAGAAAAAAATGGTGGAAATATTGATTTATTCAACAAAGTTATATAGCCACCCAACTTTGCTGTATAGGTGGACTCTGGGTGACATACAACATTTAAAAATCTACTGCCTAATAAAAACCCATTAAAACCCACTCCACCCCCAATGGCAGCAATAATACAATCAAATCAGCCACTTGATTAGCACTATCTCCACTGACAAAGCCCATGTTTTTAGCGCCTTTTCAGGGTAGGGGCCAACATACCCCACCAAGTGTGTTGATCCATACAGAAGGAGCCACCACTGAGAAGGCCTTTTTTTGTGATCCCACCAGATGACAATCTGTAATCGATGGGACGGGTAACATATCCTGCCTTCTCATCCTGATGGCCCAGCTGGATATAATGCTGGATATAATAAAAGTCCTTCAAATAGCGAAGCCACGTGAGGCTTCAAAGGTGATAACCTGCATTTTGAATTGTACCCGGTAGGAGATTGGCAGCCAGTGCAGCTCCTGCAAAAGAGGTGTCATAAATGCGAATATGTGCAAATCTAAACTTGAAAAAAAGTACAGGCTGCTGCATAAGAACCCCATTTGTACAACAGCTGAATCTCAGTGCTGACCCCTAAGTCTAGTATTCGTTGGGGAAGTAAGGAGGGGCACCAGAGGGAAAGGAGTCAAAAAAGCCTTATCTCATTTGGTAGTGCGGGATGGATTTCACCCTGCCTTTTCAAAGCCACTTAAGAACACTTTAGCATTTTCTGCAAAGCAATCCATTAAATGGCTTTAACTGTTCTGACCAAGGCTTCCGAGACCATAATTATGCACAGGCTTATTTTAAAAACAAGTTTTGTTCTATTGCCATGCTGGGAATGATTTTCATTCTCAGCTGGTAATGAATTCCCAGAACAGTCCCTCGAGATAAGCACCCACCTTTCTTTTCTGTGAAGTGCTGCCAATAATAGAAGTGTCCAATGAACTAGAAAAAAATCCAACCAAAGTACAAAGAGCTTCAAGAATGAATCTGAAGCGAACGAATGACTTTGCTTCCTGCAAAGGTTTCGTCATCTTTGCCTGTCCTTTATACCTTCTGGGAGAGGCAATCACCTCCCAGCCTTACTCCCAAGTCACCACTTTTTTTTCAGCTGCTCTCGCCTTCTAGCAGCTCTGCACACACGCACACAGGGAACAGGCTCCTCTGGGTCCTCTGTCTCACTGCTGCCAGACTCTGAAGGCTCCTGAGTCAGCACATAACTCCTAGATGGCCCTGGCCCCATCTCTGCATCGGACGCAGGACCCTCGTCTGAGTCCTTTCTAGACTCTCTGATTGATCCCCTTTCTTCCCCACTGTCTGATTCTGCTGCTGTCTGCACAGGCTGCTGGCAAACCACAACATTAACAACTTCAGGATAGGATCCCACAGTCTCAACTAGATTTTAATGGAGATTTCAAGAGACAGACATTCAGATGTAGGTGGAACCTTTGAATTGCACCTGACAGATTTCTTTATAATGCGTCCCACAACATTATTAGACTTGCAAAAATAGTGTAGCATAAATGCCCATTTCCTCAACTTTTTGAACAGGGAAGTGTTAAAATTGCAATGTACGTGGATTGTATTATGCTGAATTTCCATTTTTGGAAGTTGAAACTGAGAAGGAGACAGATGGTGATGTGGACGGATAACAAATGGTAAAGGGTTGTGTTTTTTTTTGAGTGAATATGCTAAATTAATGTTAAGTGGTTACATCTGTTTCTCTGCTATTTTGTTCGAATGTATGTCATCTTCATAATTTTAAAAAAGGGTAAACAGTTTATCTCAGAGTTCTCGAATACATTTTAGTATCGCATTAAATTATATGTCATTATGAATAGCTTACTGCATTCTCACCTTGAGTCTTCCTTATTATACATGTCTGTATAGTTTTCTTAGGCTGACTAGTTGTGACATAAACTCAAATGAAGCTGAGATTGACAGTCTTCCTATAATAATATTTTACATTTGAAAAATTGTAGCTTTTAAGCAATGTAGGTTTTGTAAAAATAGTTTGTCAACATGTTCAAATATCATGAAAAAATAATGAATATACTACTGTAACAGTGGCTACATTGCATTGTAAAATTAAGTACGCTTGTTGATTTCAGAAGGATGTAAGTAGATTACCTGTTTGCAGCCACATTCATAGAACATAATACACAATCATCTCTCAAGGTTGATGTTTTGGTTGAACATGGAGCTTCTTGTGAAAAAAAAAAGATTCATAAACAAAATCTGAAAGGATCTGATGTATTCCACCAAAATTTCAGAGACGAAAAGTTCGTCTACATGGTAAAACTGGCATCCCAGTTTAGCATTACAGACTTAAAAAGGGATTCTCACAATCACTTTCTCCTATCAAAAATATCTTGCAGTTACAGTATCTATGAGTAGTTGTGTTAGATCCCTGCATCTGCTAATGGATTCTGTGCTGCTGTTACGTTCTTTACTGTTGCTGTACAGTAGCTTTGCTGTTATTTTGTTGCTTTCGTTCAAGGGATACCAGAAACTTTAATCTTAAGGAAGTCAGGAAGTTGTGATGGAATGGAAAGGATGTATTTTTTTTGAATTTAGAAATCACAAGGGATTTCAGTAGATTGAAAGAGTAGTCCTCAACATATGACCACAACTTGGACCAAAATTTCTATTGTTAAGCAAGACAGGCTGCAAGTAGTTAAGTGAGACAGTTTTGATTTAATGATCCTTTTGGCAATGGTTGATAAGCAAATCACTGCAGTTGTTAAATGAATTGTGTGGTTGTTTCTAGCTTCCCCTATTGTCAAGATCTGGCTGGTAATCACATGTGCCCAGGATGCTTCAACCGTCGTAAATGCATGCTTGTTGCCAAGTGCCTAAATTTTGATCAGGTGACTGTGGGGATGCTGTGATGGTCATAAGTGCGAGGACCAGTAGTAAGTTACTTTTTTGCAGTGCCTTTGTAACTTTAAACAGTTGCTAAACAAATTCTTGTAAATTGTGCGCTACCTGTACCTTCTCAGGGTTCAGACCACAATCATCAAATGGTGAATTTTTAGGATCAGAAATGGGAATTCATCACAGAACCTGGACTTGTAGTAGCTTTTAGTTTCTGGAAACTAGCTGTCTTGCGTCTCTTGGGGTCTCAGCTAATGAGTGGGCTGCCGAAGATCATCATATGCCTTTAACTCTAGCAAAAGAGAATACATCAGTGATGCTTTTGACTGGTTCGGCCCGGTTCTGGCGAGCCAGTAAGAGTGATAAGCAGCGGAGAGCGAACTGGTTCTCTCTGCTGTTGGGCCCACCCACCCGCCCGGGCTCCCATACTCACCTTTATCCTCTGAATTTGAAGCGTAGCTGCTTTGTATGACACAGAATAGTGCTGTGCGGCAGCTGCTGAAGCGACCAGGATTGTGCAGGCTTTCAGAAGGTGAGTTAGAACACCTCTGCACCTGCGTGAAGTGTGCATTTGGCACGCGCATGCACGCAAAAGCATGCTCACCAAGCCACGCCCACCGAACAGGTGGCAACAATATTTGAATCCCACCACTAGAATACATCACTGTGCATTGTCTGTAATTTGCAGCAAACATGTACTATAATGACTGTATCAATGCTCATTGGGGACATTTTGGAACTTGTCTAATGGTTAAGTGCTTTAGTGGTTAAGGTACCAGGCTAAAAAGCAACAGACAGTGAGTTCAAATCCCGCTTTAGCTATGAAATCCATCTGGAGGACTTTGGGCCACTCCCTCTCTCTCGTCCCAACTCACCTCACAGGTTTGTTGTTGTGGTGTGCGTAATAGGAGGAGGAAGGTGTGTTGGATATGTTCACCATCTTACATGTGAAAATAATAAAGGCGGAATATAAATAAATGAATGTGGTACATAAATTAAAATTATTCCTTGCATTTTGATATTAAGGAGAGAGCAAAGAGTCTCTTAAGTTGGGAAGAACAGCTTTATGGCCAGTCTTTTCTCCTTAGTAAAGCGAACAAGTGTATATGTGTGTGGAGAAAAAATCTGTTTGCGTGCCTTAAGATGTCCTAACAAGAATGGTCTCCAAAGTTCTGGCTTACTGTTTGAAATGTCTCATTGGCCAAAAATGGTTAAAGCCAGTCTCTTGGTCTAAATATTTATACATTTGGGTTGAAAATAAATGGAACAGCAGTGTTTAGGCCTTTTTTTTCAGCATAGGGCTGTTTGCAAAGGATAGATGGCAACCCTTTGGAAATATAGTTACTTGCACTGACAGTTTGAGTTCCCAAAGGATTTATGAGTTAGAGATCTCTGTTTCCAGTGGTCAGTATTGAACTGAGCTTCCTTGTGAAAATAGCTGAGTCTTCAGTTAAATGTCTCTGCTGAGCTGCAAAGCTGAGCCGGCAGCTAGCTCTTTGGCAAATAGTTTTCTGTGTGTATCTTCTAGGCTATTCTCAGTATTATTTTTCCAGGCTTTAAGTCATTAAAGTTCGCCATACTTGGTAGTGCCACTTCTGACTCTCAGAGCCCACCCTGGCTATAATACTTAACAGTAAGTCAAAGGTTCAGCCTTGTATATAATATAATACTCTGAGATTTATAATGTTAAGAAGCCACAGTTCACTGAGTGAATATTTTTTCCCTAATTTAGTTAGCTAACTGTATCCTACTTAATCATGCATCTCATTTGCCTTTTTCTTTCTTGAACTCCAGATTCCATTCTCTCTTGTACAGTTTCCTGTTTGGGAATCTTTAAAGGTAAGTCCCTTTATATAAAATTCTGTTTCTTTGATATGTTTTTTTTAAAAATATAAACTATTACAGATTAAAAGAAAAGAGATCCCAGTTAAAAGGGCATTGCAGAGTCTTGCAGAAGTAAAAGACCAAGAAAAAAATGAAAAAATGTCAGATATTTTTACAACAGTTGCGGGTGTTTTGATGAATGTGGAATCACTACAACATATTAATATGCATTCAGAAATTTGTGCTAGAAAGATGGACAAAAATGATTTGAACGGTGGAATTGTAAGATTTGCTTGGATGGGCATAATCTTCTCTTATATCACATATTCCTTTCCACAGTTTTCTTTCATTATTCTAAAGCATTATGGTATAACCCTATTATGGTATAACCCTATTATGGTATAACCCAAGTTTCACCATGCTGTGATACTTCTGAAGTGCAGAACTAATTCCATTTGTAGGAGTCCTCAAAAAGAAGTCTGTAGGAATTTGAAAGCCTTCTCTCATCTAAATAAATGGAGTCTATTTCTTCTTCTTTTTTGCAATGGTAATAGTGACTATAGAATTTGGAGTTAACATCCACATATCTGAAAGGCTGTACTGATAGATAATGTCAGTATAAATTTGTTTCAAATACACCTTACAGGCTTCACTTAAATATTGATGTCTTTCATCATCATCACCATCATTTTAGCCATTGTCCATCCACTGCAGGATGAAGGCCTCTTCTGCATGTTTCCAACCTATATGGTCCTGAGCTTTTTTTTGCCAATTGGGCCCACAATACTTGCTGATGTCATCAATCCATCTTGTTTTGAGTCTCTTTCATGGACACTTTTTATCAAGTGAGAGCCATTCTATGATTGCCTTGATCCACCTGCCATCAGTTCTTCTTGCTATGTGACCAGCCCTTTTCCATTCCAATTCTTTTACTCCCTTGATGATATTGTATAATTTTGTTTGTTCTCTCATACATATGGAGGCCTTTCTATCTTGTCTTGTAATGCCAGGCATCTATTTTTCCATCTTTGTGCCACTTGTAGCTTCTGTGTTGTTGTCTTTAGCGTGCCTTAAATATGGGAATGCGCTCTGGCTAATGATCCAGGATAAGGGCCTGGAAGTTCCATTTAAGAGCCATGGTGGCGCAGTGGTTAGAATACAGTACTGCAGGCTACTTCTGCTGACTGCTGGCTGACTGCAATTTGGCAGTTCGAATCTTACCAGGCACAAGGTTGACTCCGACTTCCATCCTTCCGAGGATGATAAAATGAGGACCTTGATTATTGGGGGCTATATGCTGACTCTATAAACTGCTTAGAGAGGGCTGTAAAAGCACAGTGAAGTGGTATATAAGTCAGTGCTATTGCTATTAATGCAAAATGGAGGAATTAAACTGTTCACAGAGCAGAAGTATAATATGCACCATTTTAGGAGCTCACATAACTGCCTGCACCACTTATTCTCTATTAGCTGAAACTTCCAAATACTTGTCAAAGGCAGCCCCATGCACAGTGCACTGCAGTAGTTCAATTTGGAGCTGGCCAGGGCATAACTGGTGCACCAGTTGAGGCTATGCAAAGGCTCTTCTAGCACAATTGCCACCTGCTCATTAAGCAGGAATTGTGAGTCTAGGAAGACCCTCGGTGTACACTGGGTCTCTCTGGTGTGGTGCAACCTCACCCAGTGCCAAAGATGACAGAGTGGGCCCCAATCCAAAGCCACTCAGAGCTCCTAGAGTGCAGCTGAAATCTCTTGTTTCCTAGACCCTACTGGCCTCCAGACACTGGGATAATACTGGGAATCTTCATGTGGAGGTGGAGAAAGTGAAGGATGGCATCATTTAAATTGCCTGCGGTGGAGATGGATAATTAGGTATCATCAGCATCTGATGATACTTCACTCCATGGTGGCAGATGAGCTTACCTAACAGTCTCATGTAGATGTTGAAAAGGAGAGGAAAAAGCACTGAACCCTTGGGACTCCACATAGTAGGGACTTAGAGTAAGAACATTCTTCTTCAATCAACACTGACTGGTTTTAATTGTTTAATGGTTTTAGGACTTATTTTATTGCTAGTTTTAGTTTGTATGTGAAACTGTTTATGTATTTTTTTATGTGTAACGTGTTTTCTTTGAATTAAGAGTGAGGGTGATAGACAGTAAAAGAGGGAGAGAGACAGAGGCATATAGTTGCCTTGAGAAGTCAACAGAGCAGAAAATAGCAGAAATGTAAACAATGTTGATAAATAAAGACTTTTTTTATCTCCTCCTTTCACCATCTTAAATATATACAGCACCAATCATAGTAAAGGTTTATTATGGCTTCAAATGTGGATTGTCTTCTCACAGCACCTATGGCTTTGAAGTATTACAGCAATTGTTTTATTTTTAATTAGTACATGTCGTTTTCTTAATGATTTTTTTCATTGTTTAGGTTTTGGTTTTTAGGAGCTGAGATATATTCAGAAATATGGCTGCAAATTATAGTTTTCCTATAGTAGTATAGGAATGTATATAAATACATATAAATGTATATAAATACATAATATATAGTATATATTAGCATAGAATATTTCCTGCAGTCATACACACATCTTTTGCTCAATATGAGTCCATAAACTGACTTATTTCTGAAAATCAAGCCTCAGACGATACTCTAAATTCATAATTACTCATTTAAATTATACTAGTGGATTTTGGATGTTGAAGCCACCTGCCTACCTGAAGTATAATTTTGACCACAATATATTTTTATTGGTCATTATAACCTGCTGTCAGATGCTAGCAAATTTCAGCCACTACTATTTCAGCTTAACAATATATTTTCCATTTAAAAGCTACCCAAATAAATGTGGTAAATCTGTGGTAAATCTACAGCTTCAAATAACTGCAAATCAAGAGAACAATGTTACTAATTATATTTACTTTTATTTGACTATCACATTTCATAGATTGCTTTAAGAATATGCTAGGGTTTTTTTCATGGCTTCCACTGACAAAACAATACTTTTACATTCCATAAGTGAAAAAGAAGCCTCAGTTAGAGTGCAAGTTCCAGGAATTTTAAAGAATTAATATGGGTTCCTCAAATATGTGCAAGGATAATGGTTCCGTTAAAATGCATTGAACTCCTCAAAGATTTTTTTTTTAATGTCTGTATTTTGTCCCATCTATTCTTCTGGACTCTGAAATACGATTTGGGTGAGCTGCATCTTTGCTAGCGACCTTTAGCTATATGTGAGAAGCTGTCCCCTGAACAGTAAGACAGATTTTAAAAAAACCCAACCATTTCATCTTAACCTGACTAGATGTTTTAATTTGGAAAAAAAAACAAACAGAAATGGCTTGTGGGATTTACGGGCCTGGCCAGTACAACACAGTAATAGTCTGTGAACATTTTCACGGAAGATAATTCATCAATTCTTTGAATTACCCTAGTCTATTTACCCTTCAGTCCTTTGCTCAGTTATCTAGAATTTTGTGAGAACAATCTTTTCAAATGTCAAGCATGCTGTCCCCTAAAAGGGGAAAATAAGGGAAAAATGAAGGCCAGTGTTGTTGCAAGTTGGCCAAATTGGGCTCCAGGACTCTTGTTCCCTACATTGACCTAAATATTCAGTAACAGCTTGAACCCTGTTCTTTCGTGCCTTGATCACTGACAAAACCAACTTGAATACATAGCCCAAGCTACCAGCTTATTTTTTTCTTTGCAGAAATTGTTTTATTTATAATCATTAGTTATGAATAATTAGAGCCATGGTGGTGCAGTGGTTAGAATGCAGTACTGCAGGGCTAACTCACTGCTTCACTCCAAGACTTTGATCCTGACTGGCTCAAGGTTGACTCAGCCTTCCATCCTTCCGAGGTTGGTAAAATGAGGTTGTTGGGGGCAATATGCTGACTCTGTAAACTGCTTAGAGAGGGCTGCAAAGCACTGTGAAGCAGTATATAAGTCTAAGTGCTATTGCTAGGTTTTTTTCACTGTTTAGATTTTATTTTTGGCAGCTCATGGTGAGAGTACTCTCATGCACATAGGTTAAAAAAATCAATTGTTTTTGGCATCCAGAAATTTTTTTTTTTTAAAAATATATCCCTAAATGTAATCTGCCTGTCTATTTTTCATTTCTTTTTCTTCTGCCTCTTTCTCATTCTCTTTTCACAGCCTTCTCTCTCCTTTCCATCGCCCCCCCTTCTCATTTCCCCTTCATACTGTTCTCAGTGGCATTAAAACTCAGGCTAGAGGAAACCCAGACAAAGCTTTAAATCCATTTCCTTGCAAGCTGTGCAGTAAGTGTTCTACCATTCACTTCTCCATCTTGGTGTAACGACTGTGCTTCTTTGGGGGATTAAACACTGATCATTCTGTAACACTAACGTGTCTACCATTTGCTTGGGTGCTCTTTTTCTCCCCCGAAACCCGATTTCTAGGGCACTGTTTCAAAGGAGGTGATGTCACTTCCAGACAGTGGGAGTGTACTTGCCATTCACCTAATAGTTGCCTTTTCTTCCTTCCCCGTCTCTCCCCTGCCCCCCCGGGCTCGGCCATGCGAAGAACACTGTAGCCCCAGCTGTTCAGCAAACAAGCCCTTACTTTATTCATGTCACAAGAATGGTTATTCACAGGGACTTTAAAATATTGTCAAAGACATTCTTGTGCACCATCTGTATGTGGCAAGAGCAAGGAGAAAGGGCCTTACTGGCAACGTTGAAACACCCTTTGAAACCACTTAAAAATTTGGAAGGACACAGCTTGTTTGAAAACAAGCTGCCAAAGGACGGAAGCACAGGGTGTTTTTCTCCAGGGCTTCCAAAACCTGCTTTTAGAATGAAATGCAATCCTTTTTCTACAAAACAGTTTCTCTGCTTTATTCTAAATATGTACCCTCCCTCCCCTTCCCCCCCCTCCACCAAAAAAAGCAAAATATTCTTCAGTGCCTTTGCATTTAAACAACTAGTTTGGATAGCACTACCAAAAAAGGTAGCCCAGTCTTGGAAGAAATATCCTTTTGGGTTTAG